TCGGCGGCCAGATTCCTGCCTGGCACCCCCCAAGCCGGGCGACGGAGGCAGAAGACAAGAGCAGGCAGGAGAGCTCAATGCAAAGTCTTTACTACAGGCAGGGTTACACGGAATGAAAAAGCAACAGCCGGCACTGAGAGGAGGGGGAGAGAGGTTTATCCAGAAGGAAAGGTCTGTCTAACAGGAGGTGGGGCTAACTGCTGGTCCTCAGCTTCGCGAGGACTGTTATTTTGCTGGGAAGAGAAGGACGGGGTGAGAAAAAGAACCTTTTGCCATTTCAGATGTGTCCTGGCAAACGGTCCGGAGCAGAGGCAGCTGGGGAGGAGTGAACGTGCAGAGGAAATGTCTGTCCCCGCCATCCGATGTGCATCAGGCAAACGACGTGGCTCAGGGAACAGGGGACGGCGCCGAGGAGGGAGGAAGATGCCAGCCTCCCGGGAAGGGTGGGTTTGCTCCCCGGGGGGGCCCAGCCAGAAGTGCGTGTGTGCGTGTGTCCCCCACTCCGTGAGCGGTGCGGGGCGGCCCTCAAAGCAGGGTGCACATGCCCTTGCGCTTGATCTCGAAGGTGGCTGTCAGCAGCCCCAGCTTCTGCTGGCTGTAGGGCGGGTAGCGCAGGGCATTGAGGGCCTCCAGCCCCATGTTGCGGTGCAGGCAGCCGCGGTGGTGGGTGAAGGTGTCGCAGGTGAACTTGCCGTGGTATTTCCCCAAGCCGCTGTTTCCTGAAAGACACAGCACAAGTCCAAACTCGCTACGGGACTCTGCTGCTGCCCGCACACAAGGAAATCTTTACAGGCTTTTCTTATGCAAATGCTCCTGCTGCTCGGCAACACAGATGTGGTGGAGGAGCTCTCACCCTTCCCTGTGCCTCTTCCAGCTCTCACCCTTCCCTGTGCCTCTATGGCTACTTGGTCCAGCAAATCCTTCCGCAGCTGACTATGGTTTGAGGGTCCAAATGCATCATTTTTACTGGCCTATTTTTATCTACAGAAGCTTTGCTGGGTCTACGAGGCTTCATTTCCCTCTACAACCTCTGTGGTGCTCTACCATATCTACTACCCATGGTTAGGAGCTGCCAGCGTGGCCCCCACAAAGGTCAGCATCTTCCTGGAGCTCTTAAAAACTGGAGCTGCATTGGCAGCATCAGTTCTCCTGATTCCTGTGGCTGGTGTAAGCTTGAGGTTGCACATCGCAGTTAACAGCCCAATGACTTCACATCTGAGCTACTGTGGAAGCTTTGGCGAATGCCTTCTCACCCCGATGACTTCAGACCCCTCACCTGACCAGGCTGCTATAAAATGGCTTCACCCGATAATTTGAGGCAGTTTGTCTGAATCATTTCCATAAAGATAACTTATGGTATGGGAACCACCAAAAATTGTTCCCTGAGCCACAGCCAGGCGAGGAATTAATTGTGCTTTGCTGTCATGGTGTCCTATTAAGTCTGAATCAGCTGCCAGCCCCGACAGAGAAGCTGAGCACGGGCAGCATAAAACTGAGATATTTTTCCCAGAGAATATTCCGGGGAAGAGACCAGGAGTTTGGGAAAGTACTCTGGGGAAACGTTGTCAGAGGCTTCCTGTATTCCCATGCTCTGCCCTGGGCAATGCTACAACCAGGGCCCAGGGCTGGGCAGACCTCACTTTTCACCTGAGAAAACAATCGTCGTTGCCCCCGAGAGAGCAGGAACTCTTCCTCTTTGCTGAGGACGATCTCCAAGTTACCATAAGCAGATTTTCCAGACATTTGTAAGCATTTTCCTCCTACAATTTAATCCTAAAAGGCAGAATGAACGTACAAGCCTGCTCCTGAGTGACGGTAAGGGCTCCACGCTGTCTGCAGGAGGGAGCTCACCTACCCAGGAAGCATAACGAGTCGGATGTGCTCCGAGACAAGGAGCAGGGTGACAGAGAGACCAAAGGGAGCAGCGCTTGAGGAGCGCCCAGGTAAGCCTGAGCAAGGCAGGAACCCAGCCCTGGCACAAAATTCACTCATGGTGCCCATGCTGCTCAGAAACACCAGGGAAATAATCAAGCGGGACACATTTCCCTACCTTTTATATGAAGCGTTTCCACATACACAGGGAACGCTGTGCTTGGGATGGCAAGCACAGAGAGAAGAAACCTCACAGAGCTCCACACGTGTTCGGCAGAAACAGGGCTGCAAAGCCCGAGAGCTCAGCCATGGTGTGGAGAAGCAAAGGGCTTCTGGTGGGGTCCTATCTGGCGCAGAAGGATTTACCTACAGACAACGGAGCCCCTCTGGACCTGGGACCCAGGCCTGGGTGCCCCATCTCCCCTGAGACCCTTTCTCAGCGTGGCCCGCCTGGCTCAGGCTACGGGGGGGGGATCG